GATGTAAAAGTGATCGGTAGGTGAAATTATTTCACCCTAATATTTGCTCATTATTTAATTTCTAAACCACCATTTGTGTACATCCACATACTTTCAAATAATTCTATCAAAAATCATAACATCTAATTCCTTGTTTGTTTTTTTTTATCAAATTAAAGTAAGGAATAATTGAACCAATTATTAAATACTAGTCCTCATGGGAACGATATCCGAACTCTTAGATCCACTTTACTACTTGCTACGATCCATACACTTGCAGGATACAAAATTGACAACAATTGGTAACAACCTACTTATTTTTTCTTATCAATCCCTTTTTGTATTGAGCCTCAAAAGCATCAATATAACGTGCCATTGTAGGGCTCACACCATCTGGGAATGTAAAAATATCTTTTACAATACTTTTCTTAGTTCTTGATGTAGAATCATATTCATTGACTCGAGGGGATTGAAGAAGAGCTACAGGTTTCTTTTGTCTCTTCACGTGCATGTTTGGAATCACATCATCATAAATATCAATAGTTTTAACATTTTCCTCTTCAATTCCAGTTTCAGCTTCAATAGCAGTCGTCACTTCCACAACTTTTTCCCCAAACTTCATCTTTTAATTCAAATTCATTTCAAGTACTTTATCACTTTCTTTAATTCTCTTGTCACTATTTTTTATCTTCTTGTCGTTTTTTTCCACTACCTTATTACATTTTTCAACTCACTTGTCACTTTTTCTGATAGGCACATCAACATATTTTCCTCACGACTCATTTCAAACTCAATGTTTAAAGAAAAATTAGAAAAGTCATTAAATACCTGCCTGTTTCATCAGATAAATTCCCCACACCATCCTATAAAAGAAATTGCAAGATACATGAAAAAGTCATAAAGATTCTCGAAAGTGACAATAAGTTAAAAAAGTCAACAAAAAGTCACCAATATTAATTTTAAACTCGAAATCTCCTTAATACCTTCATTGGTTCTTATTACCAGCTAGCATCTTGTCTACTTTGCATTCCACATTATGTAGATTCTAATTAATTCTTCTTTCATTTATTCCTTTTTCAATATCTTTTAGATGGTCCTCAATTAGGCTTAACTGAATTTTAACTTCAAGATCTGAAATAAGTTTTAAAATCAGATCATTTGATTGAACAACTTTTAGCTTCGAATAGCTGTCTCAAAAGTTCTTCATTCAATTGCTGGACTTGCTGAAAAGAACATGGAATAATAAGAATAAATAAATTGAAATAGTAAAAAGAAAAAAATGCCCACAAATCTCATCAATCTTCCATTTATTTTTCTTTTATACAAACCTTCCAACTCGGTCAATAGATTTTGCTTTTCCTCCATCCATTAACTTTTTCTGTTGAACAACAGGATGTTCAAAATCATCATCATCCTGGTCAACCCTCAAACTTTCAACAAATAAACCAATTGCATACTCTTCTTCATTCATTGCCTCAAGAGGCAAAATTCGATTTACTTCCGACTGAAAAATACATAATCATATAAATAATAACAGAAACAAACTAAAGACATAAAATAAATAATAATAATAATAATAATAATAATAGGATACAAAACTTACTTTAATCAAATAAAAAATGGTCTTCCTTAACCCCACAGATGTCACAAGCTGATTACTACTCCAACTCAACATCCGAGGACGTTGAGGCTTATACTTAATGCAGTAATTCTTTCCAACAATAGCAGTAATAGTTTAATAAACCCATACTTGGAAAGCAACAAGGAATCCATTCAACTTATTCTCTCAAAACTTTTTTTTTTCCATAAAAAATTTCTTCATTCTTTGATTAAATGCACACTTTACGGATGATAGAATCGTATTAAAAACTTCTATACCCGATGGAAAAGAATTTAACTCCTCAGACTCCACAAGACAAAAAATGAGGCAACTTCCTTATGATACGATGTACCAAAAAGGAGTGATGTAATTAAATAAACTATGCCTACGTCAATGACATGTTTATCTACAGTGTCAGCAGGTAAATTTACACATACTTCTTGTACCTCTTTTGTTGAGATGCTTTGTTGATCTTTGAAGTACCTGTTGTTCTCTTTTGTATTATCAAGTAAAGTCACCATTTATAGTACATTTAAGCCTGATATTAAACAGAACTTTTCAACTCAAAATCTCACAAATTTGTTAAGATGTTGAACTATATTTCATTTGAAATGGGCTACTTAACTTGTCTAAGCAGCGGCGGATGTATCAATTGTGGTTGCAATACTATTTCCTTCAAATCAATGAAGGCACCAAAGCATGTATTATTAAATAAATTCCTCTCATATGTACTAAAAGTTTCATTTAACTCTGTTATCACCTTTTGTGGAGATAATGATGTGACTTTTACTTTGAACTAACATGTTTGAGGGATTAATAAATCACAATCCTACAAAAAGAAAAAAGATACAGTTAAAATGAAATTCAACGACATATACATGCATTAGAAAAGTCTATAACATACACGTTTGTAACATGTTATAATGACTGAAAACATGCTCGTAATATAAAACAATTAAAAATGTGCATAAACTCAAAAAGATGATAATAAATAAAAAAGAGTGACATAAAGTTTAAAAAAAAAAGTGAGATAAAGTCTAGAAAATGACATAAAGTTGAAAATGTCACAAAACTCAAAAAAAAAAAAAAAAAAAAAAAAAAAAAAAATAAAGATTTGTGAAGTTTCTACTTTTTCATCAGTTATTGTGTGTTTGATTACATTTATTTTCCATAAAAAAAAAAAAAAGTGATACAAGAGGTTGTGGTATAATTGTTTAACAATATCTAATGAAACAAATACAAGAATTAAGACTTTACTTACTTTCATCCCATCACCACCAAAAAATTAAAGAATTTGACAATAAAAAATGGCATAGACTTAAAAAATGAATATAAACTAAAGAAATAGCAGGTGAGAATTGAACCGATATTCTTTTTATTACTAGACTAAGGCCTAAGCATGATTGTCAACTCATATTTGAAGTCTATTATACCAATAACAATCTTACATGACATGACATGTAAAGTCTATTAAAATACAAAAAACAAAAAACTATACATAATGGGCGCTCAAGCACTATGCATCCCAACTCATTTTGACGCCCCTGCTACATTAGGCGTAGGATAAATATGTACCACAAATAACTATTACATATCCTTAGTTAAAAAACAAATATTTTTACATTTTAGTCCCTAAAAGTAGCTACCATTATCAATCTGTGACATAACAACCTCTTTCACTAGAAACAAGACACATTAGTAATGAAAGTCCAAGAGCATTAGTCACTTGCAACATCAAGTTCAAATAATATCTAAATTCGATCCTTATTTCAGCAATCTAAAGTTAAATTTGACACTAGCTATGATCCATAAACAATTCGTAGTTCAAAATTAATTATAGCTATAGTTGTCTTCTTTCAAATTTTCTGAAAGGTCCTACCACTGCCAGAATGACACCAATCAATCTTAATATATATTTAACAAACACAAATGGCCTTGTAATAGAGCAATCAACATGATATGATATAATACGATTGGAAATGAACAATAAGTAACTGTGCATCCTAATTCCACAACATGATGTCCAATGCATACATTGCTTCAATAACTTTCAAAATTTAAACAATAATATTCACACTTCGTTGAGGGGGATATTTTTCCTTGATTTACAAGGGTTTTTTCTTGATAAACATGTAGAATACCACAAACCCAAAAATTATTGGCTACCTTGGGTTTATTAGTTGTTGAAGAAATTTTCTTCTTTTTCTTTGAAGATATTTCATCATCAATATTTCCTTTCCTGTTCAAATTACTTTTTCTAACCATTGTAGAAATAGGAGTCAGATTTCGAAGTGAGGAAGTTAAAATCAAAATTCGAGTTTTTGATTTCGGATCGGAACAACTAGGGTTTTTGCTATTAGTGACTTGGGGTTTTTACACCTCTACTCTTGGTTCCAATTTAATAATTTATAGCTGAATTTCTAAGATTGTTGGGTTATTATCCATTTAAGTTCTAAACCAGGTATTGGGTTTTATTTTCAAGAGAGAAAAAGACGACGAAAATAGTGATGACATCACAGGATGAAGACAGCAAAATTAAGTTTGCAATTTTTATGATGGAGTTGGTAGTCAGGTAGTGTAAGAGAGAATGTAACAAAATTGGCTCGATAAATTTACAATAAAATAATTTTTAATGTATATTCTATTTGTTTAGGAAAATGTTTTAATAATAATCATATAATTCGATAATCGACAAGAATGAGTACAAAGTTGTGTTTTTGCTGTAAATAGAAAAATGTAAGCCCCCGTTTGGCCCCCATTCCCATTCCCATTCCCATTCCCATTCCCCTTCCCCTTCCCCTTCCCCTTCTCATTCTTTTTTTCTTTCTTATTTTCAATCACACAATTTTCCATAAAATAATATTACGCGTAAATCAAAAAGATTTCATTCTTTTTCAACCACACATTTTTCAAAAAAATACTATTCCGACCATCAAAATTTAAAAAGAATGGGCCAAACGGGGGCTAAATGTTCTTGGCTTGTACCTATTGAACCCTAAGGCAAAAGCCAAAAAGCATGCTAAAATAAAGTCCTTGTTTGGGCTCCATTTTAATGAAATTTTGTATAAAATGTATTTTGAAATAATAATTTTGTGAAAAATATGATTAAAAAGAAAGGAAAAATTTTGAGTTAATATGTAATATTATTTTATCAAAAAATGTGTGTTTGAAAATGAAGATGAAAAATGGTAGTTTGGTCATTTGATTTTTTTAATTTTTACAGTTACAATTATGGTTTTCGTGATAGGAGGACCATACTCCGTTTTGTTTTGGAGATTAGGGACGTGGAGTACTAGAAATCAAAGGTTAAGGACCTAATTGTCACAAGGTTTAAAGGTTCGGGATCCCAATGATATTAAGTTTATTCACGTTTTCCTTATTTAATTATATTTATGCTATTCTTTTCTTTTCTTAATCATTTCCGTAACCTAATCCATATTCTACTGTTTGAACCAAGCACACGTAAATAACCTTATTTCTTCTTTCAGAAAATTTAAGTATTACTAATATATATTGATTTCTCCGGGAAAAATCTGGAAAGACATTTGTGTATCAGTGGATCATTGATCTGGATTAGGTTTCGGATTTTCTATTAGTGATTTAACTGGATTTTCCGGTTGTCGATTTCTGTTGTGAACAGTGTTAATTAACTTCGTTTGATATCAAGTTTCTGAAATTCGCTGAAATTACATCTGAGAGTTGAGATTTCACGTGAAATTTCAGCATTTTATTTGCTTTTTCGAGTTTAGAAAATGGTTGGAGGTGGAAATAGAATGGATGAAGGATCGTTCACAGTGAGCAACAGCAATGTTTTTGCTGTGCTGGAGAGAAAGAAGAAGAGGTCTGACAAAGGGAAGGTCTCTGCAAAGAGCAGTAAGAGTGGGTTGAAAGCTGGGGCTGGGAAATCAAAAGAACCGGAGGAGAAGCCTCAGGTATTTTTTGCTCCAGCTCCTTTGACTGTGAAGTCGTGGGCTGACGTTGATGACGAGGATGATGATGATTACTATGCCACCAATGCTCCACCCCAGTCTGTTTGGGGTGTTTCGGGGTCGAGTAAACCTGAAGAGAATCAGAAACCGGACCCTGTGGAGGTATAATGACTAAAAACGATGAATTGTTATATAGTTCCTGCTATTTTAAAGATTGGATAGTGATCTTGAAAGTTCATTGTTGTGGTTAATTTAGTAGGTTGTTTGTTGATGATTGTTATTTGTATTTTGGAGTGATAAACGATATTCAGGCTAATTTGGTGTTCAAATGGTTTGCAATTGGGGGATTTTACTATTGATTATTAGTGTGTGATTTTGTTAAGATTGGATCGTATCATCTCTATGCATCATAAGATAATCATTTGCACGATTCCATTTCATTAGATAAAGATTCTCATTTTCGCATGATCTGCTTTCTCTGGTGATTAATGAAGAAAGTTTTATTTCCCTCTTCTGTATTATATATGGAAGGGTCTTAACGGTTCCTATAGCCAAAAACTTTTGAGCGACCTATCTACATTATGATCGTTTATGGCAAATTGACAATATTCGGTCTCAAGAGTGCTTGTAAAGGTTATGTTTTGATTTCCTCTTTTTCTTAAAGAGAAAAGTCATAATGTTTTGTCAAAAGAAAAAAAAAATGGTGGTTCTGTTTCACACTGTTTTGATGTTTCTTTTCATCTACGTTACTATGATTCACCTAAGCGACTATGATTCACCTAAGCACCTGACAATAAGTACTTTGTACTTTATATGTTGATCGGATCAAAAGTCTCACATATTTGATTTCCTATTGGTAGATTTGCTTCAGCATTTGTTTGCCACATACTAATAGTGTAGTTTCTTGAGAAATTTAATGGTGATGATTGGTTTTTAGCGTGAATTTTGGTGATTGCTAGGATACAGATGTTTATTTATGTTGCATAAGTCGCAGTCTGAACCTGACATTCTGTTGCGACATCCTTGAAAATTCATATCCATTTCTTTGATATATATATATATATATATATATATATATATATATATATGGATTCATGTCTATTCGGGGCATTCCTGTAATCGCTGTCAGCTTTTCATGCATTATTCCCTGATTTGCGTGAAGTTTCATGGCTAAGATCATGTTATCGAGCTTTCAAATGTTGATTCAAATGAAGTTTTCCCTCAAGTAGATCACAGATATTTTATAATTAATTTTGAGCAAAAGAGACTCTTGGCATTCATAATTATATTGGTTTGGATTTGTTTTTCATCAGTATCATTCCTAGTGGATTCTATCCTTGATTGAGCTTGACTTGGGCTAGTTTGCTGCAATTTTCGGAAACACCAAATGGAGAATTTAGATAGAAACATTCTGTTCAAATGGAAAAATCAAAGGTTTGGCCAAGACAATCAGACTTTTTTCCACCTGTGAAATTATTTTTTTGGAAGGTTTCTACCTGTGAAATTGTGTGTTGGGGTGGGGGGGGGGGGGGCAAAAAAAAAGCGGAGCTGTTTAAGAATTTAATGTTTTATGACTTCCACTCTTTCAAACAAAGTACTTGAGAATTCTGCCCACCAATCTCATCTACTCCCCCCCGCCCCTCGTTCTGCTTGTGCATACTTGCAGGAATGGTGTATGCGATGTGTCTATCAGTCTACCTCTATGTATGTGTGCTTGTGCACCAATGAACACTTGGAGCTCTGTTTTTTCTTTTTTCTATTCTCATCCTCATCTTCCTGTATCTCCTCCAATATCTACCCTACAATTACAACTAAAGGGATTGCAGAAAAGAAACCATGATCTGTGGCAAAAAAAATTCCCGGCTCTGTTTTCTTCAGGCGTATCCTATTTACTGTAGGATTATCCCTCTGTCATGATGAACAAAGACCTCCACGCATCTCTGAATTCATTTTGCTGGTCTTCTCATGGAGTTTGTAATGCCTTTATCCCCTTTTGAAAGCACTTCATTCTTGTTAACTAAAATAAAATTTCAATATATAGGATCATTTGCAAAGATCCCTTGTGTGGAAGAAATGGTGTTACAATTTTCTTGTAGCTATGAAATCATGAAAATGGGGTTAGGATAGGTTGCTTGCCTCAAATATTTTGTCATGGTTTGACATCCAAATTGCAGGAAAGCGAGAGTGAAGATGATATTCTTGATGAAGGTGACGACGACATGGAAGAAGAGCACGATCATGAACCAGTGGTGGAAGAACATCCTGAGCCAGTAGTTAAAAAGTCTGTAGATGCTTCCCCCGCAAATAAAGAGGTAGATAAACAAATTTCCAAGAAAGAGAGAAGAAAAAAGGAGCTTGCTGAGCTGGAGGCCATTTTGGCTGAAATTGGAGTTGCCCCAAAAGAGAAAGCCATAGATGAGTCATCTGGTGATTATATACTCTGTTGTCTCTTGGAAATATGTTAATTTAGAATTTCATTAAATATTTTTGGATAAATCTTTTCTATCTGTGGTTAACACATTTATTTGAAGTTATTGTTTTCTTTAACTTCCCCTCATCTCTTCAGCATTTTATTCTGGACTATTTTGTTTGGCAATTTACTATTTCTGTTATACATGAGAGACTAATCTGTGCATTCATTTTCTTTGCTAGTCTTACCATCAAATAGTATAGATTGTTTATCTTGAAATGGAGCATCTCATTTTATGAATGTGCAGATATTTCGCAAGAGAAGAGAGAGGGACAGATGAATGGAGATATAGAAAACAAGGATAATGTCCATGCAGAATCCAAGAGTTCAAAGAAGAAGAAAAAGAAGGATAAAGCTTCAAAAGAGGTGAAGGAAAGCCAGGATCAGTCCAGCAGCTCAGATGTTCTTAACGGACAGGAGGAAACCACTGAAACCGAACAAGTGAAACATGATGCTTCTGCCGTCAATGTGAAGGATCGACTAAAGAAGGCCGCTTCTGCTAAGAAGAAGAAATCTAATAAGGAGATGGATGCTGCTGCCAAAGCTGCTGCTGTGGAGGCTGCTGCAAGGAGTGCAAAACTTGCCGCTGCTAAGAAGAAAGAGAAGAACCATTACAATCAGCAGCCTTTGCGGTAAAGAGCACAGCATTGGAGTAACATATAAATCGAGATGGTTATTTAATTGTTCATTTACCCATGTGCAATAAACTTTGATCTCAGCGTCTTTGTCTTGATAACATGTTCCCAGACGGTTTTGCTCAGTGAATATTTGTTTTTAACTTGGTACTTCAACAGACTTCATATATTAGTTTGTATGAAATAGTACTCTTTTGCAATGATCATTTATCATTTGAATTGAGCCCCCTGTTTGTGTTTACTTTTAATTCTCACTGGTGGAGAAATCGATCTAACTTCTGGCCTCGCGGATGTGCGTACAGATCGATCAAATGAAGCACGAAGCTTTATAGTATTCCCAATCTATAGGATTGATCTCCTATCCACAAGAGATGAGATATCTTGTCTATTGATGAGGTGACAATATTACTGGTATTTTAGACCCCATTGATGAGATGGCAAGATCACCAGTATTTTAGAACCAACTGGCAAGTGGACAGGAGATATCTTGCCTACCGATGAGGTGGCAATATTACCGGTATTTTAGACCCCACTAGTGAGATGACAAGATCACAAGTCTTGCCAGCTCAAGATCACATCTTGCCACATCACCAGTGGACAAGATATGGGGAGGGGGTTAGTCCTGTCCCTGTGTCATGTTCATATGCATCTGGCATTTTGTATTACTTCCTTGAGCATATATTGTGTTGTAACTTTCGAAAAAACTGATTCACCAGAGCATTCATATCACATCTGCATATTGTGTTTATGTTTTTGATTCCTAGCAGTGCAGTTCTGTCGCGATTTTCTTTGACAGTTACATTGGTATTTTGAGTTGAATATCTTCTTCGATTTCTACAGCAATTAAAGGCATCACTGCATAATCCAAATATTGCAAGATGCTACTCAAAGCTTTGAAAAAATTCTTCTGCTCCACTCTAGATTATAAAGCAATGCAAACATCATCTCAGTAGCAGAATACAGAACAGAGAATTTTCTATAGCTAAAACAAAATTGCATTACAAAAATAGAGCTCGTCTGAAGAAAAAAATGGGACAAAATGATAAAGAACGAGCATTCACCAAAACCGCCATGGGTCCTTGTATGGAGGTACGTAGTTTTCTGTGGGAGGTAGAAGATGGAATGAAGCCACAGTTTTTTCCAACAAAGGTCCCATCTGCAGGATACAAAGTGAAGGACATGTAAAAACAATTAAGCAAAAAACTTCATAATTTTGTTTACTGCTTTCTTTTCTTTTTTTGTCAAGATCTTCACAGTTAATTGATTGAAGAATATTCGGCTAAGCAGAAAGGGAAAATGAATGTTAGATACAACGAGAAATATTCCTATTGTTAATCTAATTTAGATGAGCAATAATGTTTCCATTGAATTCAGTGTGTCTGTATTGTAAGTAAACGTTGAAAAGCTAAAAAACATGCTGATCCTGAACTGAGTAAACTTGATGACAACAACAAAAGAAAAAAACTAAGCTTCTTCCAATAAGTTTTGGACCTCGAGAATCCTTTTTCTCCACTTCATTCTAGATCCACCTAATGACCTATAGCATCTAGATCCTCGGCAATAACAAAACATCACATTGGTTTGGTATACGCCTCCCTATTCTGACTTGTTCTAGCAAGACCACATCATTCTAATCAACAATAGTCTTTTTATCCCTATGCAAAACATGTCCAAACCATTTAAGTCATCACCCCCTTATTTTATTGTCAATGGACACCACCACTTCCAGCTATTGGCATGTATTCTCATTTTCTCATCCAGTGAATGCAGAAATCCAGTTTCTCTTTTCCGGATGTGATATAGATATGTGTTGTGAGACCACTTTCCAGTTGCAAAAACTCTACGTATACATAACAGATACAGTTTCTGTCTAGGTGATGTAGAAAGGGTATGCGACCATTGACAACAGATCTCAAGAAAACAGAATAAGATGAACACTCATAGAACAAAAAATTATAATAACATCCGAATATCATTTGCTCGTCAAGTTATAAAATGTCTAATAAGCAAAGTTATGGGTACAAGAATAGAAAAGGGAAAATCAAGTTAACTTGTGTGGTTTTACAAACCCGCACACCATCTTATAGTTTTAAAATATGCAACTTACCCCTTGTGAGTTTATGTTATTCTGCATATATTAACTTGACATGATGGTGTTCATATATTTCAGGTGAAACTTTAGAGTCTATAAAACCACGAGGGGATAAGTTAATTTAAAATCAGCAGGGAGTAATCTGAAAGTTTCTGAAGCCACAGTTAGTTGATTTGCAATTCGACTAGAAAAAACACTTACTTTGCCCCACTGCTTGTTTAGAGTTGAAGCATTAAGAGAGTACAAATAACCTGTGAATCAAAAAAGGCTCAAATCAGAATGGTAAACTTATGAAAATTAGCCGTCCCCTTTTTTCTTTTATCTTAGACATGAACTGATAACCACCTTACATAACCAACGACTGATGTTTCTTTTATTTTTGAGTTAATTTTTCAGGAAAATAGGTTGCTTAAGGTATTAGTCGTGAAAAAAGTAAAATAAATTATCATCAATTGTTAAGGTGAATCATCATAATCCATCATTGTACCATCACGTTCGGCTGTTGTAGCAACATAATGCCTGAAAATATTTGATTCTTGAGCCTGCATCATTCAGCCCGGAGTATGATGATAAGTATATAAATAGATATTCTTCTGCTGACTGCTATAGTTAACCGTTCAATAGGAAACTTACAGTTTTAGTTGGTGATTTACGAACCAGATACTCGTAATACCAATAAGGTTCACCATCAATCTGAGGAGAAAATACAAGATCAATATAATAATGATTGAATTGATTGCATTCTTGCCACTTATAACTGTCATTAAATGTTTACAGCAAAAAAACTCACTGTAGAAGAATGTGCATCAAGTACCGAACTTTCAGCCATACGCTGACTGGAGGTGACACGCTGTAAAAACCAACAAAATATTTAAACACTTAATGTAAGAGAGTGGTAGAATCTTGAAAGTGCAAGACAATCCCAAGCACTAGCTTTATAGTGGAGATGATACAAAGCTCGAGCTTACATTCAAAATATGCACACATTTTGACATTCAATAAGGATTACGTATACATAAATTCAAACACGGGAGGCTAATTACCAGAGCAGACTTGTCGGATAAAACAGAATCAGCAACATCTTTGGCACTCCATGTAGTTTTGTCCTTTGATTTCAAGAACTGCAAATTGGGGGGACCTACCTGAACCAAATAGTATAAAGTCAAACTCTTAAAGAAAACCAATAAAGATGATGATCAAACTATGGAAGAATATGGTAGCATCAAATTTACCGAAACAGAAATTATGAGGTTGTCAATGATGTCAACTCTCTCAGACACAATGCGAAGTCGTGCATCAGCTGTAAATTATATCAATCAGTTTATAAGTAATCTTATAAAAGATACATCTAAATATCATGTTACTCAAAACTTTAATACAGTTTCTACCTATTTTGCCAATACTATACACAAATCATTACCACCATGTTAATAATTTTGACTTCTTCATTTGGATAGAGGAAATAAGTTTACCAACTTACGGGACAATGGTGCAGCTGATGAATAACGCTCCGGCTTTCTAGATTCCACCCTTCAAATAGATGAAAAGATTAAAGGTTCCTACAGTTTAATGATACGGGAAAATGAAGAAGATAAAAAATTTCATTAAATCTAGTAGAAAATAGACTTTTTGATGAGAAACACAGCAGTCATTGGCGTCTCATTCATACAAGATGCAAAACAAAGCAAAGCATGAAGATAATTTTTTTTTTTCCCAATATTTCTAGTAGTAATTTCTCTCTCCTTTTCATCTGCAGTTTTTGATAATTTTATACAGTTGAAGTTATGGAAAGCTGCGCAGAATTTGATGGTTAAGAGCCTATACCAACAAAGGTCAGATGAAGCAAATAATTGAAGCAAGCTATGCAAGGACAACTTGTTCTTTAGGTCCTTTGCAGCATTGTGTACCGGCCATGGACTAAATAAACATAGAAAACACCTGTTTGTTCATGGTTGGGCTCATTTTCAAGCCTAAACAAAACTCATTTGTCTCTAACAGCAGTAAAAATAAGTATATTTTTAGAAAGACTGCATTATAAACCATTGGGACTAGATTTTACAGGGATTTTAAAATTAACCAGTTACAACAAAAAATCATCAATTCCCTTGATACTTCTCAGTTACATTTAAATAGACACTTACCATTTGAAGACAAATTTCTTGGAAGGCAATTCAATTGGGTACAAATAAGAATAAGCATTTATATCATCAACTGCTAAATCCATTTTCAACTCTTCCTCAGCGCCAAAACCTGCAACCAGAGAAGTGCCATTTACCCTTTGATTAAAAAAAGATTCCCCCGCCCCTAATTTCAATTTCCAATATAAGAACAATTCAGCAAAAAGATGCCAACTTCAAAATTTTGCGAAGTGAATAGTAACTCAAAAGAAATTAATAAAACTACAATTTGCAACACACTAATTAGCATTTCAAGCATGAAAGCAAATTAATAAATAAAATAGAATAGCAATTTTAATTTACCTGAAGAAGGGAAAATTAGAAAGAGCGACGAAGAAAGGCCCGTAAAAATTAAGTCCCTTCTCAAAATCCCATTTCGCAAAATGGGTAATGAAGAATCATTGGAATACGCCATTAAATTTCTCATATTTCCAGGCTTTCTACAGTATTTTAGACCTGAAATAGTCATACTGGGAGAATAATTCCTGCAACACAACACCAATAGCAGAATCTATGAAAATGGACTTCACTGTATGTATTTCTGTGTATGTCTATCGATATATAGTGATCAATAGGGAGTGGGTGGGGGTACCTGATCAAGGGAAGATTTGGAAGGAGAGAATTGTAGGACGAAGTTGAGAGAAGAGCAGCTGCCATTTTTCTTCTCTAGTTTTCAGTGTCAGCTCATCCATTCGTGTTTTAAAAGACCAAAAAAGAAAAAATTGTATGTTTGGTCCCCAAACTTCAGAAAAAGTTACTACTCCATCCTCAATATTTAAATTCAGAATTTTAGGCCCCTATATTTGGCAAAGTTGGTCGTTTTTCAAGATATCCGTCAGTTTTGACGTCGAATCATGACATTTCGCTCACTTACCACTATATATTTAAGTAATTTTATTCATCTCTAGTTTTGGAGGCAATTATCGAACTAGCTCAATAATCAATTCTATAAATAATAAATTTTAAGTTTTAGGTTGTCTCCTAAATTCTAACTATATAAAAATTCCTAATAAGAATGATAAGCTTCCGTTTGAAACAATGAATCAAACGGGAAATACTTATACCAACAGTGACTATAATAGAATATGCTATCCATTGTAGCTCAATTTACAACTGAATTCGAGCTTTTTTACCTATCAAGCCGTCCAATCTAATTTTATCATTAAGTGGTCATGTGAGCACCACTTATCAAACATGTCCTAAATATACAATTATAAGTTGTTAATTTATAAATTGATTGAAATGAGTAGAGGACAAATGTGTAGTAATTGTGGTCTTACGAAATGTATGATTATAATTGAAATTTGACTTTAACCTTAAATTATAATTAGATTAGAGCATCTCCAAAATATTGTGACGTCCCAAAATTTTGAGGTACTTATTAATTTCTTTAAAGCAAAATTTTGAAGGTTTGGAAATTTTTCGAAAGTTTACAGGCATTTCAAAGTAACATCATATGTTTAAAGATTTTGAGACTTGTCTGATGTTTGCATATTTCGTGAATGCCTAGGAACATCTTTTAACCACCATGTGTTGTCTTCTGTGCCAAACTTAATATGGGGGTCTTTCGCACGTTAGTGGTATAGATGTATTTTGGAGCTCGCCGTGGGCTAGTAAAGCTACTAATGTTAGTTAAATACTTATAATCTTGTTAACCACTTAATATGCTAACATCCTAATTTTACGCTAACAAACATTTTGCTAACCAAGTTCATTTATTTATTTTCTACGCGAACGATGTCGTACCGACCCCCTCGTACTACTATGGTATACATTTATAGTATAATCCAATTTCATAAAATATCAACTAAGTTATATCATGCACTAACGTTTGAATATGGTATATATTTCATGACAGCTAACAGTTGATATTCTGCACTATTAGTGTTAAAATTGATATAGCTCACCTTACATGGTCATCATCTAATAGATTAGTTGTTGTGGTGTATGTTGGAGGCGTCACAAGGACTCTATTTATAAATAACATATTATGCATAGAAGAAGAGAGTATCTTTATATTTAGAAAGACATTTTGTATACATTCTAATAATACTCTTTATTTTCACTCTTCAATTTGCTTTGTTCAAGAAACGTTTATTGATTTCTCTCCATTTTTTATATCAATGACCGATCAATTCAAATATAATATAAGAAGCATAGTATTGAAATCTACAATTTATTCAATTTAATCATTATAAAATAAGAATATAAAGACTCTCGAAAGTTAATTTTAAACATTAACTCTCTAAAATAGAAAGGATACGTAGAGAGTAGATGCTCTAATTTCAACCAAACAAGGACAACATATTGAAATTCCTTGTCCTCCGGTGTTTATGCAAAAATGGAAGGTCCCTCTACCACCCATTATATACGGTGCTCTTCTCATTAGATAATTCTTTTCCCTTTTTCCCAAACTAAAATAAGCACCCTTGGTCTAATTAATTATTTTCTCGAAGCCCACAACTATTCTTGGCATAATCCATATTCAAACATCAAAATTCATTACAATCTCTGCAGAAAATATTGTTTTAGAGACAGAATACAAGAACCCATTTTGTCTTTTGATGATAGAAATTCATACATAAGAGAAGAATTTAGAGCAATAATGGGGGTGGATTATTATGGAATATTAAAGGTGGAGAAAACTGCAACAGAAGATGATCTCAAAAAAGCTTATAGAAGATTGGCTATGAAATGGCATCCAGACAAAAATCCCACCAAAAAGAATGAAGCTGAGACCAAATTTAAGCAAATTTCTGAGGCCTATGAAGTATGTTTTTTTGATGGAAATTTTGTTTGTTTCATTTTTTAATATCGTCTATTACTATCCATTAATCCTCGAAAAAAAACGTTCCTTCAGGTTTTGAGTGATCCACAAAGAAGACAAACCTATGATCAATATGGCGAAGAAGGTCTAAAAGACATGCCACCTCCTGGCTCTAACGAAAGCGAAAATGGATTCAATCCTCGAAATGCAGAGGATATTTTTGCTGAATTCTTTGGAAGTAGCCCTTTTGGATTTGGATCATCATCCGGAGCTACGAGGTCGATGAGGTTCTCTTCCGATCGAGGAGGGCCATTTGGTGGATTCGGCACGACTAGTCATGTCTTTAGAAATTACAGTGATGGAACTGGCGCAAGCATGCCTAAGAAACCACCACCGGTCGAGAGTAAATTGCCTTGCAGCCTCGAGGAGTTGTACGCTGGATCGACTAGAAAAATGAAGATATCAAGACAAGTCGTGGATGCAAACGGGTAAGTTGTTAAAGAGACGACACATTTATTCAAGTTTAGCGTTCAATGCATGAATATAGATCGAATAGATTGGGTGAAATCATTCGAATAGACATATCGTATTTCTTGAAGTTTAGTTTCTACTTGCCCAACCCCATATTTCTGGGTTTTTATCTTGGAACAATTATCGACATTTTCGAACGAACATTTTCTGATAGTCATACACCTAAGAAAATCTAGTGGTTTCTTTAACCTAGCATGCCTCTCACTTGGATTGTTAACGAAATCTTTTGCAGACGACTGGTGCCAGAGACGGAGATATTAACCATCGATGTAAAGCCGGGGTGGAAGAAGGGAACTAAGATAACTTTCCCCGACAAAGGGAACGAGCAACTAAACCAGCTCGCTGCGGATCTCGTGTTCGTAATTGACGAGAAGCCGCATAATGTTTTCACGAGAGACGGAAATGACCTCATTATGAACTATAAGGTGACATTAGCAGAAGCACTTGGAGGGATGACTGTGAACATCATGACGCTAGATAATCGTGAATTGTCAATCCCGGTGAACAATATCGTGAGCCCAGGTTACGAGCTAGTGGTTTCCCAAGAAGGTATGCCGATCACCAAAGAGCCGGGGAACCGAGGTGATTTGAAGATCAGATTTGAAGTTAAGTTCCCTACGAGATTGACACCCGAGCAACGAGCTGCTCTTAAGCGTTCTTTAGGAGGTTGATAATACAATTTTCGTAATCCTCCATTCCTACTGTCGTATTTTCTTTTCTTTCTTTCTTTCTTTTTTCGAGTCTTTCGACTCTTTTGCATCCTTGCCACTGTTTGTGTAAATCCGTCTTGACTATCAGCAGCTAAAGAGATGATTTATCCATTGAAAAAAGTGTTTATATTCATGTACATGTTTACCGTGTAAAAGACTCGACATCTACCCAGCCCAACTTGGGACACCACCCCCAATCCCATCCTGCGACGTCGTATACGTTAAAGGAGATTTAAAACTGCACAAATGGATTCCATAAAATGGTCAAAAAAGGAAGCAGAAAAAGCTTCAAGGAAATCTTTACTGAGTCGAAACTTGTCTGAACATTAAAACAAAATTAACTTCAATTTTAAGGTACAAAACACTGCAGAAATGATGAAATGTTTACACTATAAAGCTACACTACATCCTAACATTCTAAAACCGAAATCAAAAGACAGGAGAAGAGAAAGAAAAAGAACTTATAATTTACAACACAGTAATCGAGAACCGAAACTCCCAGTTACCACAAATCCTATCTAGTGCCTCCACCTTGCACCTGGGTGACGACCAGGAGGCTGCACCGATCTAGCCCCCGGACGCCAAGATGCCAAGCCTGAAGGACTTGCCAGTGCTCTAGTAACCGGGGGAATAACACGTTGGTTGATCAAAGGGCGGTGCATTGGTGGACGAAAGCCATGAACCGGTGGCTGAAGGTGGTGCACCGATGGTGGAGCATTAGGCCGCCACTCAGGAATGTCATCATCCTCTTCCTCCTTCCACGGTTCTATACCAAGACCTTTATTATCTACCCAATTCCTATTCGTAGAACTAGTTTCAGTTTGTCCATATTTTTGAATAAGCTCTCTAACTTGATCAACAGGGAGTTGAGGGTTTTGATTAAAGCTAGTAGTAATTTTTACACCACGATGCAAATTTTGAGATACAGCCCCAGGTAATGGTTTTATATCACCAGAGAAGTTAAACTCGGGTAAATCATCGTCATCTTTTGCTGCTCGGGCAGCAGCCACAGGGCCGAACCCAGGAGGGATATCGTCATCCTCTTCCTCCTGAGGCTTGGGATTGGAACGAGTAGAGGTCTTAGCTGAAACTGAAGTATTCTTGTTATTATTCGAGTTCTGCCCTTCCTTAAGATGGGCAGCAAATGGCTGCTTCTTCGAGCTATGTTTGTGATGTGACGAAGAATTAGGTGATATTGTGTTGCTTATATGACGACGTCTCCATACAACTACACCAATTAATCCATCATCAATAATATTAGCCATCTTAGAGTGGTGCTCGGTTAGCATATCAAGCATTTTTGAGGACGGTGGGCATAAATAAAGCTCGACTCCAGGGACTGGCTCCGCAAATCCCATTCTGTCCTCGGCAACATATGAATCCACAGCCTGCACATCGAGCAACAATCTTATGTACGTGTACAATGAATTAGAATAACAATGAAAAATAATGAATTAATCAAAAGTAATAACCTCAGAAATGGCCGTCCTCTCGTTCTCTGATTGTTTGTTCTTCAAGACGAAGTGGAGAATCTGCTCATCCAGACAAAGGAAACTTTTTTAGTTAAATCTGTTGTATGGGAAATGGAGACGAATTATGAAATGCTGATTCACCTTTGAATAAATCTGCAAGTACTACAACTAAAGAACCCTCAATCCACCCTCTAATTAGAATTGTTTAGACTATACGCTATTTTGAACTTTTCAATCTGATAAAAGTAGGAATTCCTTTCATTTGTTAGGTATTCGGCGCGTATAAATCTTGTGTTACTCATTTACACTAAGATTATATTGCGTTCAACTAGCACGAAAAGAATAAAAGGAAAAAACATGAACAAGAACAATTTTGTACACAGAAAGATCTTGGAGAAGACGACGACTGAGTAGCCAATCCTTCACAACTGTAAAACACTAAACTACACGCCATCTCAAGTCTAATAACTGCTCAAAAGTGAATACTTATTCTCGATTCAATCGGGTTCTGATTTTTTTTCTCGTAGGAAAAAGAAAGCAGCTATTCGTTTACTAGAATTGGCTATCATGATTTTTCAGAGAAGAATTTGCTTTAGAAAAGCTTATAAACATCTACTAACAACCAAATGTTTTATCATTGACAAACATATCAGAGTATGTTCCATGAAGCTACGGGCCAAACTGTGGAAGAAATAAGGCTTCATACGACTCTACCACTTAATAAATTTTATTCTACTGAATCGAGAATCTAGTTAGTTCATCCCTTTGATGTGATAACATCATTATCTAACTAGAATTCTTGATCTGATCACCTGTTTGATAAAAATAGCAAACCACAATATCTAAGAGAATTCTCCAAAACTAACACCTAGTCAACTTTGATCTACTTAATCTAGAATTCATGTTCAGCTCTTTGCTTTGGTATATAACAAACATCATTATCTAATAAATTCTAAAAACTGAACTCCGGAAGCAAAAATACTCCAGCAATTTATCATTTTTAAGTATTTTCTATTAGAACTGCTTTGTACATTCTTAAACATACTAGTCCAAGAGGTAACATCATAGATAGTAGGAGGCTACATTGCATAGTTTGTGAACAGAAATCCAGAGAACAGGAAAAAAGGCCTTGATGTACCATGACTGCACGAGTTCGAGACATAGGAAGTTCTCGAAAGAATTTTTCAAAAGCGTCAAGTCTAACTCTGCCCTTGATCTCGAGAGAGCTGGGCCACTCTTTTGTCGGCGTCTTTTCGCCACTGTAACATGGAGTAACACGTCAGCATATATAAAATATGGCATATCTAAGTGAACTCAACAAAATTCTAAATGCCATAATATTCTAGGAAGCATTTCACAGAAAACGAAACAGAAATACATATGATCAGCAGAATATGAAGAAAATATTATAAATGGTGCATCTATAAGAAATGAATTATCATTAATCAACCATAAGCTTCATCTTCAGACTGAACACGGGGGATATAAGCCTCACCAAGCCATCAAGAATCATTAATGGAGAATTTTTCTGTAAATCAATTTGTAACTGAATATCCAAGGATACCTAACAAAAGACTCCATATATTTAAAAATACAAAGCAAGGTCTCAAAATACAATGGGCAGTGCACGTGGATAAGAAGATGCAAACCTTTGAAATTGACCACCGACGTTTACCAAGGATGAAATATTTAGTTGAAGAACGCCCTCCCACAAACATTCAACCTCAGACGCATCACCAGAAGGAAGACCCTTTTGCACTGCAGAACTACTGTTCGACTGAACTGCCGCATCGACTTTACGGTCACTAAGAGATTCATCTACCTTCTTGGAGGGGGTATGTGTAGAATTTTCTGCAGCTGAAATCGAAGCCTTAGAATTGTTTACTTCTTCTGGTCTTTCCTTGCGAGTGATGTGGGATGTTTTATCTGCATCTGCAGGTATATTATCGAAAGGAGGTTCAGAATTAAGGGACTCCATAAACTCATCCAAAGAAACAATTGGAGGAAGAAAATCAGCATCCTTCAATTCATCATCCACCATTATTCCTTGCATTAAATCAGTCCCATCAGTGGGGATAACCAGACTACCTTGAAAATCCTGGTTTTCTGAATTTTTTTCCAGACCTGCAACATTCTCTCTCTCTTTATTATCATCTAACTTGGAAGGAGAATGAGTTTCAGTCTCCTTTGGCTTACGATGTGTCAACACATTAGTCCCGCCAGAGACCTCAGCAGCCATACTATAGTCACGTTCCATTTCTACTTGATACTCACCCTTGTGCGTTTTCTTAACCAAACGTCTTATATCTGTGTCAGGCAAAACTACCATTTGTGCCATCTCTTCTGCTTTTGCCATTCGCCACTCTGATAACTCCTTAGAAGCAAGTTCTTCGGCTGACATTGAACACAACCTTTCAGGTGATATTTCACCAGACACAACTCTCTCTCTCAGTTCCGGATTATTACGATCTTTCAGGTTGAATAAGAGAGACCTACCCTTCTCTTTGTACTTTTTGTTTACACCACCAAAAACTTTGAACAGTTCTGCTTCAATTTTAAAAGCTAAATTTTTTGAAGTTAAACCACCTAGCTCATCCTCATTTCCAGCCCCCTGAGATTCCTCCGTTAAAGACATGGCCTTCTCAGAATTTTGAGCCTCCTTTCGTTCTCTTACCTCCATGTCAAAATCTAATGCCCATGAAAGCCCATTCCCCTGTAATAGATCATCTTTAACAAAGAAATTTTCACTAAATGAAACATCCTCATCGGGTAAATCGGTACCATAATGAAACTCCCGAAAAGCTTGTACATCATTTCCACTGCTTTCTTGAGAAGGAAACTTGGCAGATAACACCTGACAATCACTGGGTTTACCGGCTGTGGCCAACTCTTTTGAAAGTAAATTATCCTTGGAACCAGAAATAGGAGTAGCTGTAGTCAAATTGGACACAGAAGACTGACACTCCACAGGTGTCTGATTAATGTTGGCTGCATCAGTCTTGTTTTCCTCTGCATTTGCATCTTTATCTGGCTTTTGAAATGCCAAGGACAGCGCATCAGCTAGTGACTCCCTCATTTTCGACCTAATAGCTTCAGATGACTCTGTCTGAACCTTGGACCCAGATTCCATTAGTGAAGTTGGTCTCTTCGAATTCTGCCCCCGTGGCCCACCAGATTTACTGGATATAGATTCATTTCGCACCATTTTCTTATTTGGCAAAGGTTGATTTTGCAACCTTGGAGAAGTCAATTTGGACTGCATCGGTGCAGTTTTCTTTTGTTGTGCCAGTTGTGTCAATCCAGGTGAATTGATGTTGGCTCCCATGTGTGTTGCACGCTTATTTGGAATCAGCGACTGTTGAGGGACAAAATTATATTGTCCAGGACTCCCTTCAGCCTTGCGCTTACTTGGCAACAATGACTTTTCTCCAGCTTGGATGTTTTGCATGAGTGCACCATCATGAACTTGTTCGCTTGGCATCCAGAATGCATTTGATCCATTAATGCCAACATCCAGTTCATTCTGTCCTACCCTGTTGTTTGGTACCAACACATTTTGGAATCCTAGATTACTGGAAATCGGCTCTGTCACTCCCATTTGCTCATTTGACAAAGCAAACTGATGTGATAGGTCATTGTTAGGTACTTGACCAGCCATTCTCATTTGCATTTCTGATGTTGGCAAGTCCAGTGGGGTGGAGGTACCCTCCATCGAAACCACCTGCCTATTTAGTAGGGGGAAGTGTGAAACAAGATTGTTGGACATTAAGCACCAAAACTGCAAATATGAAGAGTTCTAGATCAGCTTTGGAGAATAAGTAAGCCTATCTTCCACGAACTCACAAGCAATTACCCAGTAAAACACACTGCAACTAAAAACCGAAAAAATTAATAATCAACTTCAAATTCGTCTCTTAACATACAATAACAGTGTCAATCTCACCAAATGAAATACGAATTAGGCATTAAACTAAAACGCATCATAACAGTCTCTTAACAACCACGCAAAACACAGGAAAAAGGTAAATAACCCAAACGAAACATTATAAACTAAAATCATGTTAACTTTTAAAAGAGCTCCAAGTACTTGTTAACAGTTTCATCTCATTCAAGTTCAAAAAAGTAACAGACTTCGTCAAAAATTTCATTTATGCATATCTGGTTAGAGAACAATCCATACGATCAGTATTTTGACTAACAAAAACCACCAGAACAACAAAGTACCACACAACTCAGTGAAGGAAAGATTACACAAATCAGAGAAAGATTCAGCAGTCAATTCCCACCAATACAACAACAAAGAAAACCAAAAAGAAACTATCTTCACAAGGAACTACAAGCATTACAACTTTTGAGTGAAGTGCTTTACATAGTTCAAAATTCATATTAACATTTTTCTCACTAGTTTGCTTCTTTAGTTTCACATTTTCACTCAAGTCATGCGTAGCAGTATCCAATGATTAACGATTTGAGGTTTATGTACAGCGCAGGAATCTCTATTCCATCTTTAATCAGGTACAAAAAATGAGGGATCTTGTTCTTGCAACTCAGAGTACAATAAAAGGCTGGTCATAAGTGTGCCTAATACAGCAAGTAGCAATGACTATATGTCAGTCCAACTCCTAACACAAACAACCCCCCCCCCCCCCCCCCAACCGACCGGATATTTAGCTGGTCCATTGGTTCAACTTTGCAGGTTGCATTCCTCACAGGTTCTACCAGCAGCCATTCATGAAACTCTAATAAAAAACAACTTTTTTTTTTAACTAGAAAAAGTTACATCAAAATATAAATATAAGTTTACAAACCAGTTTATACCATAATATCATAATGTATTGCATGAAGTAACATAATAACAAAAAGAGGTAAGATGCTCAAGTATTCTTTTTTCATTACTCGAAATCAAACGTTACATAGCATTAGTCCCCCCCCCCCCCCTTGTAGCACTTTTAGTCCCCATCATTTTTAAAATGTGCAGACTATACTTTCACCCGACGATGGAAAATGTTAATTTAGACGTTAAGTGTTCACGCAGCATATACATATATGACTAAAAGGATCAAGCTGTCTAAAATATGTTTCATTTATTTTTTACAATTTAACTTATAATAAGCCCTCATTTCATTTAGCTGAAAAGCATATTTGTAGTAGATTTTGATAAAAATTAATGTAATACGTGGTTGAAAAGTTAATAAAATTATGAATCACATGAAATGTATAGTTGAAAATGAATTTAAAAAAATAAAAAATGGGAACAATACTAGAGCTAAATGTTGCCCGTCCTCGATGAATTTTGCTCTTTCAGTTAGATTCACATAGGGCTCATGTGACCATTTAGTGTCCATATAGATGCTTTTGTCAAGGATACCATGCAAGTTACGATACAATGTTAAAATATTGAGGACATGTTTGTCATACTTATGAAAGTATGAGAGTCCCTAGAGAATTTTATCACAATTATTTTATGTAGAGAGAGATTGAGAATCCATGCTTGAAAATTCCATCCCACTCACCTCTCCCATGACCACATACCAACGAAAATCCTCCACTCACATGTCCCCTTCTTTCTCAAGCTCATTCGAATTATTTGCCATTGAGCCCCACCATTTTACATCTATGTCTATTTTTACCTCAAATCTTTTTTATGTATCGTTTTTCTCCCACTGCAAGCTTTGTGCAATTTAATAATCTCTATAACCCGTATTTTATAATTTAGACTTGCCTTTGAAGGCTACATTTTTCCCTGTGCTTATTGAATTTATAAATTTTAGTTTTGTTCTATTTCGAGATATAGTATCTTTTGGTATTAGTTGGTGCCACAATCGTTTTTATTTCATATTTATTGTACATTTTGCCCTTGTTTGAGCCCCATTTTTCAACCAAAATACATTTTTCAACAGTGATTTGACATCATTTTAACTACACATTCTTCAATAAAATAATATTATACATAAATCAAAAAATTTTCTTAATTTTTTAACCACATATTTCCCATCAATACATTATTTAAAAATTCATTTTCTTCACAAAAATGGGGCTCAAACAAGGGCAAATTATTTCACGCACCTTCTTTCACTTGTTTAAGTTATACTATCGTCACAAAATGTAGTGATAATACTATTTTAAAGTGTATTTAAAATGCAAACTAATAGATCAAAAAATAGTTTTAGGCGCATCTTTCACCAAGATCAAAAGCACATTTTATAAATGAGGTTCGTGTTTGGACCCATTTTCAGGTGAAAGAAACAAGAAAAATGGCCACTTTTTGGGGAAAATCATACTTTTGTAGGCTATATGTCAATTTTAACCATTTTTTCTAATCAAGACAAACTGGGAGTGCGTTGATTGTTGTTATTGTCGATGGTAAATAATCTGTTTTAAAAATTTGACATCGTGTACCTGTTCGAATAAGACTAAGATGTTCTCAATAATTTGAGAGTGTACTAAGTCTCTATTTGTCATCCTTAAACAAATTAAATTGTTTGCGACAGTAACATTCTTTATTATACATTCACACAATAAAATATTCTACACATAAAAAAATAATTTTTTCTTTAAATTTTAATCATACATTCTCAAAAAAAATATTATTCAAAACTCTTTAATTTCTCACATAATAAGAGACAAACAAGTTCTAAATAGTTGTAACTATTGAAAATTATCAAACCGTTTTGAATAACTTGACATCGTGCACATGTTAGACACAAGATGTATGTTTTGTTGACAATTTGAGAATGAGCTAAACAATATAAACTATTTCAGACAATATAAAGTTGAGTATAACTTCTGGCTATAAGAAATTAGGAAGAGAGATATAGTAACTGGATTTTGTCATGTCAAATATGACATCAATACAAAAAAAAAAAAACGAAGACTTGAAATTTGTCCAATCACTATGTAGGATATTTTCAACAAATTCATTTAAAAGTGGTTATTTTTATAATGTTGGTGGAAGTTGCCATTTAGGTCCTATCTGACCTCCATTTTCTAAAAATAATTTTTTTTTATCTCAAATTTATTTTTAAAAGCATATTTAATAGGATTTTATAGTTTTTTTTTTTATCAACTATTCAACTATACATTTAATTAATTTTTATCAAAATCTATTAAAAATCTAATTTTTAGATTAATAAAATAGGGATTTAGAGTGTGTTTGATTGACATGGAAAATATCACCTAGAAAAGAAAAATGTTTTCCTTCTTTTGTGAAAAATAAAAACCACCTCCACCCAAGGAAAATATTTTCCTTAAAAATAAGGAAAATTAAATATATTTTCAAAAGTCGAAAAATATTTTCCATAGAAAAAATTAGCAATCAAACACCTCAAGTAGGAATTTGGGTGAAAAATTGATATTTTTCGTGAAAAATAAATGTAATCAAACACACCCTTAGGGTTTGTTTGATTGCGAAGATAGAATTTGGGTGGAAAGAAAATGAATTCTATGGAATTGAATTACCAAGAAATTATTTTCCTGAAAATTGTAAATTATTGTGTTTGATTAGTATAATTTTTTACGTGAAAAATGTTGAAGTAAAAGTATTTTTTTGGTGTTCGTTTGACTTTGTTTTACATGAAAGTTGTCAATTTAATGGATATCCACTTCTACCACTGTTCCTATAATTTGTTTCCATTGCCAACAAAAAAAGGGAAAAAAATGATAAAAAAAAATTATCTATATTTTGGTGTTCGTTTGATTTTGTTTTACATGAAAATTCTCAATTTCAGGGATATCATTTTTTTACAATTGTTCCTAGAATTTGTTCTCATTGCCAACAATTAAAAAAAAAAAGAAAAAAAAGATGGAAAATCAAAAACCACTTATCCCTAGGAAAATAAAAGGTGGAAAATCACACTTTAAGATGTTATACCTAGAAATTTATAGAAAATCAATTCCCTGAAAAATTTTGTCAATTAAATAGATCAAAAGTGGAAGTTGGAATTCGAATTCCAAGTTCCATGGAAAAATTTGTGCAATCAAACGGGCTTAGTGAAAATGACATTTCACAGTCGCCGTTTAGTGGTATACTCATCTTATAATTTCAATCAAATGCAAAAATGCAAGAACTTCAAAACATTGGGGTCAAAAAGCAATTTATAAAAACTTTCCCAACACATATATAAAATCATAAATAAATAATTATTAATCCCCCCAAAGTCCATCGTTACTCTCTCTCTCTCTCTCTCTCTCTCTCACACACACACACACACACACACACACACACACACACACATCCTCCCTCTGTGTGTGCGCTTAGACCAGACCCAACAAACATTAATTAATAATTGTTTGGATTCAATTTCGTGAAACTTACCGCTATTCCTCCTATTTATAAATCATTCTTGGAGCCCAACACAGCACGCACCCAATAATCACAGAGAAAAAGTAAAAAAAAAAAGAAAAAAGAAAAAAAAAGAGAGGAAAAATAATAATAAAATAAGAAAGAAAGAAAAAAAAAAAAGCGCATTTGTATCTGTATGCGTGCAAGTGTAAGTCTGTAAGAGAAAAGCGAGAAAAAACTTTTACTTTTTAATGCTCTCTTTCTCTCTCCCATCTGTTGAAGATCTCTGATTTTATGTTTTGTTTTTCTGAAAAATCGTGCACCTTTTTTTCTCTTTCTCTTTCACACAATCACACACCTCGAGCTTCAATTACAAAGATTCATGCTTGATTTTTGTTTTTCAGTTTTTTTGGATTTTTGATATGAACTTTTGCTTTAGCTATTTCTAATTTTCATTTTTTTGGGTAAAGATTCTTGTTTTGAGGTTTTTGTGAAGGTTTAGTTATGGTGAAAATGGTGTTCAATTTCTGCATAAATAATAAATATATATAAAGTTATATATATGGCTCATGCTCACAGTAACAGTAATAATGACTATGCAAATGCTACTGTTACTGCTACTGGTGATAACCAACAGAAGTTGACAGCAACGTTTCATGATTTTCTTGGAACAAAAGGCCAAAATCCTGCTCCGGTAGCCGGAGGCGGTGGCCGTCCATCGTCGGAGGTGTCTCCATCAGCTTCTGCCTCCCTTAATGCCTCTTCTTATGGTGGCCGTGCACCCATCTCCACCACTTCTGATCTGGGCTCCGGTAATAACACAAGGGCAACCTTCATTCCTCCTTTTCTTAGTTTGTATTCATTACAGTACTTGTACTTCTTTAAGTGGGCTATTTTGCTTCCTTTTTCTTTTTTCTTTTTTTGAAATTTTTTGTTGTACGAATGTGCTTACATCATTCGTTATGTGTATTGCTCTGGGTAGTTTGAATTTTTATGTATACCCATCTCCACCACTTCTGATCTGGGCTCCGGTAATAACACAAGGGCAACCTTCATTCCTCCTTTTCTTAGTTTGTATTCATTACAGTACTTGTACTTCTTTAAGTGGGCTATTTTGCTTCCTTTTTCTTTTTTCTTTTTTTGAAATTTTTTGTTGTACGAATGTGCTTACATCATTCGTTATGTGTATTGCTCTGGGTAGTTTGAATTTTTATGTATTTCCAAATATTTTTTTCATTATTTTCTGTATTGCTGTAATCTCACTTTCAGCTTTTTGTTGTTTTATGCTTGTACCTGTCTACTTTCTGAGCCCTTTCATTTCGGCAGCTCTTTCGATAAATTGGGTGGTTGTGATTGGTTTTGTATGAAGTCATTGATGGAGATAGTCATGTATGGGTTAATTCCGAATTACTTAGACTGAAATTGCTATATATGCACCGGCCTTTTATGTCTTGATTCCCCATTGTTGAATTGTCGAGAATTTTAATGCTTACTGGATGGTACTTGAAGATTAACTCGTGGTTTGATAGTTTTTTGATCAATTATGCTAGAAAGACATGTTGGCAGTCATTTGGAGGGGATACCATTTTATCGATCAAGAGGCGAGTTTCCAGGACCCGATACAAGTAGGTTTGCAGGAACTAAACGAAGTAACTCTGACTCTTTTATGGTGTCATCAAAGGAGAAATTTCCGCAAGTGCGACCAGAATCACTTGAGAGCTCACATTTGATGAAGGTTCGTTCTGTTTCCTTCATGGCATGTTATTTTAGAATAGGTAAAGGGATGAGGTCTTATGCTGGTTTAAATCTCATTCCTGAAGTGCATGTTTTGAAAATATTAGACTCCACTAAACAATACAATTTACAAGATATTAGCTTCTTTTTTTTCTTATTAATACAATCTAGTGCTGTCTGATTCATGTTTCCAAACATGGTAAAAATGTTTCTATTTATCCTGATACTGGGAGTTCTCTGTTCAGGTTCAGCTACTGCGACATGGCGGGGGAGAGCGACCTTGGCTGCCATGTGATGATGACAAATCCTTTGCTATGCATCAAATGAGACCAATTTCGGCCTCTCTTATATCTCAATCTTCTAGTGGCGGTAACTCCAAATGGGATCGAGCTATTCCAATGGATCTTGGACCGACATTACAGTATCCTCCACGTGCTGGTCAAGTTGTACCATTTGGGCACCAAACTCCATCAAATAGGTTTAAAGATACGAATCCTGGTCCTTCTGCCATATCACGAACAGCTGCTGATGAAGGATCTAGGACTGGAATTAAAGGGTCTGGAATTTTGAGTTCTATCAATGCAACTGGAGGTGTTTCTGAGAGACAACCTTCGGGAGTGCTCATACGTACTGATAAACAGAAGTCCACTCTTCACATTTCGGAGCCAGAATTGTCTGCTACACCCAGGTCAATTCATGATACAAGTGATTTTTCTAATTTTCTTACCTGAGCTATCTGCGTGGTTGTCTGAAAGATTTGAGTTTAATTTGTCTTTTCTTAATGACAGTCGACAAAGAATAGAATCGGCCAGTCGCCAAATGACTATATTTTATGGCGGTCAAGCCCATGTTTTTGACAAAGTTCACCCCGATAAGGTCTGCTTTCTGCACTTTTTTGATCAACCGTTTGACTGATACATACCTGATCAACTGCTTTTTGTACTATTAACTTAAACAGAAGTATTTTCATGTTTATTTGACCTGATTAGTACGCGCAGAAAAAATGCATCCTTCAGTATTCCCCGATCCACTGTTAGAGAATCTTTATTATCAAACGTAATTTTTACTATGCTTATGAGTGTTATGCTAATTCTGGAAGTTATTTGTATTATTACCTCGAAGTGGAGGTTGGATGTCATTATCAAGGAAGCCTTTGGGGTTTATGATTCAAGGAGTTTGTGCTTTTTACTGTTGGAATTTGGACAGGAAGGGTAGTGAAGCTCCAGAAGAACATGTGTATTGACGAAAGCTTACCTTAATGGTAGCTGGAAGCCAAGAGACTTTGATTATGGTCACTGAGCTTAAGATCTAAAGGACTATTTAGAAAATTTTCTTTGAAGTTTTCTTCAAAAAACTTCCTTATGCTGTAGGACCCAGGGTTGTGGGGAGCAAGAATGGTTTGCAACAAATAGTCAAGTTTTCAAAAATTTGGCGAGATGTTCTCTTAGAAACATTTAGAAGTTTATAGCTACGGGATTTTCTTCTTTTATTGTGTTCACAATGTGGAGTGTGGGTGCAAGAGATATGATTTCTTTGGGAGTAAGGTTGATTAGTTTTTGCTCCCTTTCTTTTCTTAAAAACGTGCTATGGATTTTGTTTGTTCACCCTTCTGAAAATGGAAATGTTTCAAATTTCACAAGTATTTTTTTCATTATTTTCTGTATTGCTGTAATCTCACTTTCAGCTTTTTGTTGTTTTATGCTTGTACCTGTCTACTTTCTGAGCCCTTTCATTTCGGCAGCTCTTTCGATAAATTGGGTGGTTGTGATTGGTTTTGTATGAAGTCATTGATGGAGATAGTCATGTATGGGTTAATTCCGAATTACTTAGACTGAAATTGCTATATATGCACCGGCCTTTTATGTCTTGATTCCCCATTGTTGAATTGTCGAGAATTTTAATGCTTACTGGATGGTACTTGAAGATTAACTCGTGGTTTGATAGTTTTTTGATCAATTATGCTAGAAAGACATGTTGGCAGTCATTTGGAGGGGATACCATTTTATCGATCAAGAGGCGAGTTTCCAGGACCCGATACAAGTAGGTTTGCAGGAACTAAACGAAGTAACTCTGACTCTTTTATGGTGTCATCAAAGGAGAAATTTCCGCAAGTGCGACCAGAATCACTTGAGAGCTCACATTTGATGAAGGTTCGTTCTGTTTCCTTCATGGCATGTTATTTTAGAATAGGTAAAGGGATGAGGTCTTATGCTGGTTTAAATCTCATTCCTGAAGTGCATGTTTTGAAAATATTAGACTCCACTAAACAATACAATTTACAAGATATTAGCTTCTTTTTTTTCTTATTAATACAATCTAGTGCTGTCTGATTCATGTTTCCAAACATGGTAAAAATGTTTCTATTTATCCTGATACTGGGAGTTCTCTGTTCAGGTTCAGCTACTGCGACATGGCGGGGGAGAGCGACCTTGGCTGCCATGTGATGATGACAAATCCTTTGCTATGCATCAAATGAGACCAATTTCGGCCTCTCTTATATCTCAATCTTCTAGTGGCGGTAACTCCAAATGGGATCGAGCTATTCCAATGGATCTTGGACCGACATTACAGTATCCTCCACGTGCTGGTCAAGTTGTACCATTTGGGCACCAAACTCCATCAAATAGGTTTAAAGATACGAATCCTGGTCCTTCTGCCATATCACGAACAGCTGCTGATGAAGGATCTAGGACTGGAATTAAAGGGTCTGGAATTTTGAGTTCTATCAATGCAACTGGAGGTGTTTCTGAGAGACAACCTTCGGGAGTGCTCATACGTACTGATAAACAGAAGTCCACTCTTCACATTTCGGAGCCAGAATTGTCTGCTACACCCAGGTCAATTCATGATACAAGTGATTTTTCTAATTTTCTTACCTGAGCTATCTGCGTGATTGTCTGAAAGATTTGAGTTTAATTTGTCTTTTCTTAATGACAGTCGACAAAGAATAGAATCGGCCAGTCGCCAAATGACTATATTTTATGGCGGTCAAGCCCATGTTTTTGACAAAGTTCACCCCGATAAGGTCTGCTTTCTGCACTTTTTTGATCAACCGTTTGACTGATACATACCTGATCAACTGCTTTTTGTACTATTAACTTAAACAGAAGTATTTTCATGTTTATTTGACCTGATTAGTACGCGCAGAAAAAATGCATCCTTCAGTATTCCCCGATCCACTGTTAGAGAATCTTTATTATCAAACGTAATTTTTACTATGCTTATGAGTGTTATGCTAATTCTGGAAGTTATTTGTATTATTACCTCGAAGTGGAGGTTGAATGTCATTATCAAGGAAGCCTTTAGGGTTTATGATTCAAGGAGTTTGTGCTTTTTACTGTTGGAATTTGGACAGGAAGGGTAGTGAAGATCCAGAAGAACATGTGTATTGACGAAAGCTTACCTTAATGGTAGCTGGAAGCCAAGAGACTTTGATTATGGTCACTGAGCTTAAGATCTAAAGGACTATTTAGAAAATTTTCTTTGAAGTTTTCTTCAAAAAACTTCCTTATGCTGTAGGACCCAGGGTTGTGGGGAGCAAGAATGGTTTGCAACAAATAGTCAAGTTTTCAAAAATTATTTTCTGTATTGCTGTAATCTCACTTTCAGCTTTTTGTTGTTTTATGCTTGTACCTGTCTACTTTCTGAGCCCTTTCATTTCGGCAGCTCTTTCGATAAATTGGCGTGGAATGTGGGTGCAAGAGATAGGATTTCTTTGGGAGTAAGGTTGATTAGTTTTTGCTCCCTTTCTTTTCTTAAAAACGTGCTATGGATTTTGTTTGTTCACCCTTCGCCCTTTCATTTCGGCAGCTCTTTCGATAAATTGGGTGGTTGTGATTGGTTTTGTATGAAGTCATTGATGGAGATAGTCATGTATGGGTTAATTCCGAATTACTTAGACTGAAATTGCTATATATGCACCGGCCTTTTATGTCTTGATTCCCCATTGTTGAATTGTCGAGAATTTTAATGCTTACTGGATGGTACTTGAAGATTAACTCGTGGTTTGATAGTTTTTTGATCAATTATGCTAGAAAGACATGTTGGCAGTCATTTGGAGGGGATACCATTTTATCGATCAAGAGGCGAGTTTCCAGGACCCGATACAAGTAGGTTTGCAGGAACTAAACGAAGTAACTCTGACTCTTTTATGGTGTCATCAAAGGAGAAATTTCCGCAAGTGCAACCAGAATCACTTGAGAGCTCACATTTGATGAAGGTTCGTTCTGTTTCCTTCATGGCATGTTATTTTAGAATAGGTAAAGGGATGAGGTCTTATGCTGGTTTAAATCTCATTCCTGAAGTGCATGTTTTGAAAATATTAGACTCCACTAAACAATACAATTTACAAGATATTAGCTTCTTTTTTTTCTTATTAATACAATCTAGTGCTGTCTGATTCATGTTTCCAAACATGGAATCACTTGAGAGCTCACATTTGATGAAGGTTCGTTCTGTTTCCTTCATGGCATGTTATTTTAGAATAGGTAAAGGGATGAGGTCTTATGCTGGTTTAAATCTCATTCCTGAAGTGCATGTTTTGAAAATATTAGACTCCACTAAACAATACAATTTACAAGATATTAGCTTCTTTTTTTTCTTATTAATACAATCTAGTGCTGTCTGATTCATGTTTCCAAACATGGTAAAAATGTTTCTATTTATCCTGATACTGGGAGTTCGCTGTTCAGGTTCAGCTACTGCGACATGGCGGGGGAGAGCGACCTTGGCTGCCATGTGATGATGACAAATCCTTTGCTATGCATCAAATGAGACCAATTTCGGCCTCTCTTATATCTCAATCTTCTAGTGGCGGTAACTCCAAATGGGATCGAGCTATTCCAATGGATCTTGGACCGACATTACAGTATCCTCCACGTGCTGGTCAAGTTGTACCATTTGGGCACCAAACTCCATCAAATAGGTTTAAAGATACGAATCCTGGTCCTTCTGCCATATCACGAACAGCTGCTGATGAAGGATCTAGGACTGGAATTAAAGGGTCTGGAATTTTGAGTTCTATCAATGCAACTGGAGGTGTTTCTGAGAGACAACCTTCGGGAGTGCTCATACGTACTGATAAACAGAAGTCCACTCTTCACATTTCGGAGCCAGAATTGTCTGCTACACCCAGGTCAATTCATGATACAAGTGATTTTTCTAATTTTCTTACCTGAGCTATCTGCGTGGTTGTCTGAAAGATTTGAGTTTAATTTGTCTTTTCTTAATGACAGTCGACAAAGAATAGAATCGGCCAGTCGCCAAATGACTATATTTTATGGCGGTCAAGCCCATGTTTTTGACAAAGTTCACCCCGATAAGGTCTGCTTTCTGCACTTTTTTGATCAACCGTTTGACTGATACATACCTGATCAACTGCTTTTTGTACTATTAACTTAAACAGAAGTATTTTCATGTTTATTTGACCTGATTAGTACGCGCAGAAAAAATGCATCCTTCAGTATTCCCCGATCCACTGTTAGAGAATCTTTATTATCAAACGTAATTTTTACTATGCTTATGAGTGTTATGCTAATTCTGGAAGTTATTTGTATTATTACCTCGAAGTGGAGGTTGAATGTCATTATCAAGGAAGCCTTTAGGGTTTATGATTCAAGGAGTTTGTGCTTTTTACTGTTGGAATTTGGACAGGAAGGGTAGTGAAGATCCAGAAGAACATGTGTATTGACGAAAGCTTACCTTAATGGTAGCTGGAAGCCAAGAGACTTTGATTATGGTCACTGAGCTTAAGATCTAAAGGACTATTTAGAAAATTTTCTTTGAAGTTTTCTTCAAAAAACTTCCTTATGCTGTAGGACCCAGGGTTGTGGGGAGCAAGAATGGTTTGCAACAAATAGTCAAGTTTTCAAAAATTTGGCGAGATGTTCTCTTAGAAACATTTAGAAGTTTATAGCTACGGGATTTTCTTCTTTTATTGTGTTCACAACGTGGAATGTGGGTGCAAGAGATAGGATTTCTTTGGGAGTAAGGTTGATTAGTTTTTGCTCCCTTTCTTTTCTTAAAAACGTGCTATGGATTTTGTTTGTTCACCCTTCTGAAAATGGAAGAATGAATAGGAATTTTCTATTCCCATGCAACTTGAGGGATAGCAAGATTTTTTAAATAATCATTGAGAATGTTTGTTTTAAACTTTCTTGGCATGCCATAAAGTTGTGGATGTGGGATTTCTCAGAATTTTCTCTTGCGAGTCATTCTTCTCTGCTCTTGTCAATTTGCCCACCCCATCTTTGTCTGTCCAAGCTCATTTTGAATGTCTTGTAACAGAATCAAGGTTTTTCTATGGTCGATCTTTCATAGAAAAATTGATTCGTGAGAATTGGTTCAAAAGAAGCATCTCTATTTCTCTCTTTGTTGTTCATGGTGTATGATGTGTGCCATAGTGGAGAACAGCATTTTTGGTTATATTTGGGGTGATTTAGAGATACAACAGGATTTTTGAAGGAGGAGAGTAAGAAGTTTCTGAATTATCGGATAGGGCTAAATTTTTAGAATCGCAACAATTTCTTGAACAACCTTTTTGCCTCAGTGCTTTAGAATAGGAGTATAATTCTCATGCTGGATTTGTTGTTGAGTTATTTTCTTGCTGTGAAATATCCAGAATTATTCATATATGTACAGTACAGAATGCATGATGCTGAAGCTTCCCTCTTTCTTATCACTTATTTGTGAAGCTAGCACTGGAGGAATATCTTTATCTTTTCTGTAGATTAGATTACTGTTCGGCGAGTTTTGAACCGTTACGATAATTGTGATCCCTCCACAAACCATGACGAGTTTTATCCTTAAAAATGTTTCTATTTATCCTGATACTGGGAGTTCTCTGTTCAGGTTCAGCTACTGCGACATGGCGGGGGAGAGCGACCTTGGCTGCCATGTGATGATGACAAATCCTTTGCTATGCATCCAGGCAGATGTTATAATGGCCTTAGCTGGATTGAATGGAGGATCTTGGTCAACAACTTACGCGCCAAAATCTGCATTAGGACCTCCGACTGGAGATAATTGTATTCCCAGCGATGCAGGCATTGGTATACCAAGGGAGTTGCACGATAGGACATCAGATGGAGGGAAATCCCACCATGGTTTTGGCTCTGGTGATTAACAATTTCTTATCCCAATTTTTCACACACGTAAAATTCGTTAATGCCATATTTTTCACCATGGTAACGGCATTTGCTCGAAGTTTTCTGCAAATTGTAGGTAATTATCAAGTGAACATCATTGAGATTCAAGATGAACTCCTTTTATGAGAGTTACATCAAATGGACTTAGCTTTTTGCCAATCTATACTTGCACTTTCCTAAATATTGAATATGGTGACACTTATATATAGAATTGGATGCACATTGTAGGCAGTCTTCCGGTGGGTATCATAACAAAAGAATCAAAAAGCGGGGTTCAAGCATCGGAGGTCAATGCTGGAGGTAAAGGCAAGGCGTAATGATTAACTCGGCCCAGTTTGTGCTTGCTAAATTAATATCTGTAGTGTGCTTCATCAATTACCTCCAGCGAGTTCGAATCTTCCTTGCTCGATTATTTTTAAAGCTTTTCGCTTCTTTTTGTAATTTGTAAGCACTCAAATTAAGTATGAGATCCAGACATTTGCAGTCTTGAGAGCTAGATTTTTCTATATTAACAGAATTACATCTCGGAATCCGCTTAGAGAATCTGAGATTCTTGTGACCATTTTGAGATATTTATCGTTTGAATGAAACCTTGTGGTAGGAACTCCGTACATATTATCTGTAATGTCCGTTTATTATGTGGGGTCTTATCAGTATTGTATGGTTATGCTCTTGATTGCAGATCAGCTTGATATTACATCGGGCTCGTTTTGTGATTTCGTCATGTATATTGTTGCTCTCATAAGAAGGGATTAGGCCTTTAATCGCTAGGATTGTCTCTGATATAGTTAGCGCCATTTTGTTTGGCTAAAAATTAGATTTTTAATAAATTTTGATAAAAAGTTGATTATATTGACAAGAGCTGCGAATTCCATGAATATATGGTTATAATTAATTGTTGATCTCTTAAATTTTTATCGACTTTTTTTAGCCAAATCAAATAGGTACTTGGTAATTTCTTGAAATTTGGGTTTGTGTACCATTTGTGTTGGATTTATCAAGTAGGTTAGACATGAACACCATCGGCTTGTTTCCGCTTAAAAAATCATCGATTGGCAAGGAAGTAGTATTTTGTAGATGCAGATGTCGATTGCAAACTTTTGTACATAATCAAATCTCATGATTACCAGTATGGCAAATTTTATTGTAAATCAATTATGATCTTGCTCAACCTTTAAATCAGCAAATGTCGTTTAGTTTCAAATACAACTAAGCCCGTTCCATCTGAACTAGACTTGGGCGTGCTATGGATTTTGTTTGTTCACCCTTCTGAAAATGGAAGAATGAATAGGAATTTTCTATTCCCATGCAACTTGAGGGATAGCAAGATTTTTTAAATAATCATTGAGAATGTTTGTTTTAAACTTTCTTGGCATGCCATAAAGTTGTGGATGTGGGATTTCTCAGAATTTTCTCTTGCGAGTCATTCTTCTCTGCTCTTGTCAATTTGCCCACCCCATCTTTGTCTGTCCAAGCTCATTTTGAATGTCTTGTAACAGAATCAAGGTTTTTCTATGGCCGATCTTTCATAGAAAAATTGATTCGTGAGAATTGGTTCAAAAGAAGCATCTCTATTTCTCTCTTTGTTGTTCATGGTGTATGATGTGTGCTATAGTGGAGAACAGCATTTTTGGTTATATTTGGGGTGATTTAGAGATACAACAGGATTTTTGAAGGAGGAGAGTAAGAAGTTTCTGAATTATCGGATAGGGCTAAATTTTTAGAATCGCAACAATTTCTTGAACAACCTTTTTGACTCGGAGCTTTAGAATAGGAGTATAATTCTCATGCTGGATTTGTTGTTGAGTTATTTTCTTGCTGTGAAATATCCAGAATTATTCATATATGTACAGTACAGAATGCATGATGCTGAAGCTTCCCTCTTTCTTATCACTTATTTGTGAAGCTAGCACTGGAGGAATATCTTTATCTTTTCTGTAGATTAGATTACTGTTCGGCGAGTTTTGAACCGTTACGATAATTGTGATCCCTCCACAAACCATGACGAGTTTTATCCTCTTTATCAGGCAGATGTTATAATGGCCTTAGCTGGATTGAATGGAGGATCTTGGTCAACAACTTACGCGCCAAAATCTGCATTAGGACCTCCGACTGGAGATAATTGTATTCCCAGCGATGCAGGCATTGGTATACCAAGGGAGTTGCACGATAGGACATCAGATGGAGGGAAATCCCACCATGGTTTTGGCTCTGGTGATTAACAATTTCTTATCCCAATTTTTCACACACGTAAAATTCGTTAATGCCATATTTTTCACCATGGTAACGGCATTTGCTCGAAGTTTTCTGCAAATTGTAGGTAATTATCAAGTGAACATCATTGAGATTCAAGATGAACTCCTTTTATGAGAGTTACATCAAATGGACTTAGCTTTTTGCCAATCTATACTTGCACTTTCCTAAATATTGAATATGGTGACACTTATATATAGAATTGGATGCACATTGTAGGCAGTCTTCCGGTGGGTATCATAACAAAAGAATCAAAAAGCGGGGTTCAAGCATCGGAGGTCAATGCTGGAGGTAAAGGCAAGGCGTAATGATTAACTCGGCCCAGTTTGTGCTTGCTAAATTAATATCTGTAGTGTGCTTCATCAATTACCTCCAGCGAGTTCGAATCTTCTTGCTCGATTATTTTTAAAGCTTTTCGCTTCTTTTTGTAATTTGTAAGCACTCAAATTAAGTATGAGATCCAGACATTTGCAGTCTTGAGAGCTAGATTTTTCTATATTAACAGAATTACATCTCGGAATCCGCTTAGAGAATCTGAGATTCTTGTGACCATTTTGAGATATTTATCGTTTGAATGAAACCTTGTGGTAGGAACTCCGTACATATTATCTGTAATGTCCGTTTATTATGTGGGGTCTTATCAGTATTGTATGGTTATGCTCTTGATTGCAGATCAGCTTGATATTACATCGGGCTCGTTTTGTGATTTCGTCATGTATATTGTTGCTCTCATAAGAAGGGATTAGGCCTTTAATCGCTAGGATTGTCTCTGATATAGTTAGCGCCATTTTGTTTGGCTAAAAATTAGATTTTTAATAAATTTTGATAAAAAGTTGATTATATTGACAAGAGCTGCGAATTCCATGAATATATGGTTATAATTAATTGTTGATCTCTTAAATTTTTATCGACTTTTTTTAGCCAAATCAAATAGGTACTTGGTAATTTCTTGAAATTTGGGTTTGTGTACCATTTGTGTTGGATTTATCAAGTAGGTTAGACATGAACACCATCGGCTTGTTTCCGCTTAAAAAATCATCGATTGGCAAGGAAGTAGTATTTTGTAGATGCAGATGTCGATTGCAAACTTTTGTACATAATCAAATCTCATGATTACCAGTATGGCAAATTTTATTGTAAATCAATTATGATCTTGCTCAACCTTTAAATCAGCAAATGTCGTTTAGTTTCAAATACAACTAAGCCCGTTCCATCTGAACTAGACTTGGGCAGATCTCTGCGTATTGGTATGATCATGAAACTCGACCACGAAGTCTCTCGTTTCTTGTACATTCTTCCTGCCATTTGAAGGACACAATAAGTAAAATAAGTAGAAAAGTTACTTATCTACTTATTATGGCGATAGTAAGGCAAGACCTGAGAGTTACTTTCAAAATGATGAACTTTTCTTTAAAATTTAAAATGTTGAAAATAAAAGTTACTTATTTATTTATTTTTACCTTTTTTATATTTGCAATACACACTCAGCTAAGCTTAAAAAGTAAGGTTTTAAATAAATAATTCTTTTATTAGTCAAAATTGGTAATAACTTCCTCGTTTTAACAAAAAACACTTAAATTTTAAAAGTAAAATATCCAAACATGTTTGAAAGTAAAAAAAGGAGCTTATGTTTCTTCAAGCTTAGCAACACCGCTTAATCTAGCGAATTGTATCATCTTCATTCGTGGAATACCTGGAAAAGTTTCAAGAGAGAATAGCTGTGTCTTTGCTCTGAAATTGCAGCTGCATATTTTTCCTTGAGAGAATCACGAATCTGTTGTTCTGATTGCAGTGTTGTTTGCACTTTTCCAAGCCTCTGAAAATTTATGCAGAAGGAAAATCACTCATCAAAAAAGTTTGATGAAAATTACGATGTCATTAGAAGATCAATAACTTTGAAAATCTGTTCTAGTTTCAGTAATATCTAATGGTGGTGTAAAATAGAGATTTAGATCTCCAAAGTGGCTGGAAACCTCTCCAATGTAGAGATGTAAAGGAAACGCAAATTGAATTTTTTGGCAGAAAATGTAAAAAAAGATGTAAATTACATTCACAAGAGGCAAAAAGTGGATTTAGATTTTTCGACTGGAGCAGAATTTGAATTTAGATCCATTGGGATGTAAATAAGGATGCAAAAGTGATTTTGGAGACATAAATTTATACCCAATTTTACACTATCATTGAGATGCTCTTAGGTTACTAAGGGCCTCCATGAGATTGCTTGTGCCTCTTGGTAGAAGAGCTTTCTAGGAAAGTAATCTTAGATAACTTCTTTTAAAATCTCTTTTAACTAGACAAAAACACCTTCTGAAACTCATCTAAACAGGCCTAAAATCAGCTTCTTAGACTCAGAAACAGTTCAAGAGCCCATACGAGCCCTAAGCAGTAAGCACGTTGTATGATACCGTATCCCCTATTATGTATTGTTGAAAGGTGAGAAATGGGTACCTGCTGAATTCCCTTTAAGATCCCCTCCAATGAGTCGATGAGTTTGATACGCCCATCAGCACTCATAATAGCATCTTGGAACTGCATGAGATTGAATGTAAGAGAGACATGAATTAATATAAGCACCATCCATCATCACAGTGTAATCCGTAAGTTTGCGAAAGCAAAATACTAAAAGCATATAAATCTAAACCTGCATGCTTATGGAGTTCAACAATGACGTCTCCTTTAGCATCAATTCTTTTATCTCCATCAACGCGTTATATGTATCATAGTGCTTACGAGTTTGCCGAAGCTTTTTCTGCAGACAAGCATTGGAAGGTGCACTTCATCTAGCTAAGTGATGATTAAAAAATTGCAGGAGCACAAAAAAAAACTGTTTTTATACCTGAATCTGAGTATAAAGTTCTGAAAACCGCAGCTCATACCTGAAGTTTCAGTTAAGAGAAAAAAAAATGCATTATTACTATTTGGAACGAGAAAGAGATTTTTTCTCTTTGACCAAGTCTCCAAGTCTTAAATATTGAGAACACAAGTTCGTAAGTGGCAAATAAGCCCAACACATTTTCATCACTTACTACTACAAAATGCTCGGTATTAAACTCATAAGTACGAGGCGAAACTTCAAAAACTGAACTCTAGTCGCTTTAAACAAATGACTTTTTCGATGCTCATTTGACCTAAAATAAGTAAATTTCACAAGATGAAAGGACATGAAGAAACTTGTAGGAGGAAAAAAAGGTAGCAGAAGCTAAGAAATGTACTGAATGAGTTCAGCTTGTGATGGCACTTCATCAAGTTGCCTCTTCAGCAATACAATTGCCCGGAGTTTTGCAGCAAGTTCCTACCATGAAAGCAGGAAAACCACACATCACCTTCAAACATTATTACAGAGTTTTCCCTTACATTACT